CTTTTTTCTTTAACATCCTTGGCTCTGTGAGCACTGCCTTCATGCATTCCTTTTCCCTCCATTTTTGTCTCAGGGTCTCCATCTGGAGAGCCAAATTTACGGCAGACAATAATTAAGACTATTTCCTTGGTTATTACACAGGAAAAATGTGTAAAATAAGCAAAAGGGTAATCTAAGATGGACTCCTAAAACCATTACAATTTACCATAAAGATGAAGAAAAAAGAACACCAGAATAAGATTGCCAAAAAGAGGAGGCAGAAATGTACAGTGAGTGAGGGTTTGTGAGCAGATAATATGATATCAAACAAGGAAAGCAGTAGGTAGAGAATTTCAGGGCAAAATTATGAAATGATACAGAGAAGTGAAGTTACTTAAGGATTGAGAAAGATCTATTAAGCATATCAACAAAGGGACCTCATTACAGCCTACTAAAGATTGGGTATTTTTAATATTTTGGAAAACAAAGATCAATGATGACATATATCTATTTTATTGAAAAGTATTTTTGAACACTTAGTATGCACAAGCTTGGTGTTAGTGCTGTAATAGGAGACTGAATGTCCGTTCCTACTACAAGGTGGCTGACGGTCTTTGTAGAGTGTAGTGTGATGGATAGTTATTTGGTTTATATGCTTTTAGTAGGGTGTTAGGTATTTATGTATATCCATAGGGGATCAACAAATGTATCTGGAAGTATTGGAAAAGAACAATTTCTTCATTGTGTAGATATCACTTTCTTACTTATCTGTACATTTGATTTTATTTTTAGGAATAAAACATTTAATCTTTTCAATTATTAGTTTTTGTTTTATGAACAATTTCTTTATCTGCAAATTCAACTCATCTTGCATTATTAGATGGTCTGGTGAGTAGACTTTCCACTCACAAGTAGACTGTATCTGTGTCTGGCCTTAGATTACATATTTGTCTGGCTCTATGTGGTGAAGTTATCACATAGAAAGGTCAACTGGAAGAAGCAGAGGCAAGTTGCTTTTTTCTGGTTGTCCCCAAATCTTCAGTGAAGGCTGGCTACAATACAGTCCTGCTAAAATTTTCACAGAAATTTACTTATAAAGGTTGGAACTTGTACTTTGGCAACTGTGGAGATAACATTGTCTCTTCATTGTTTCTTGACTTGTAACATTGTATTAAGGAAAATCAATGTATGTTAAACTTGTCTTTAAATACTTAAATATTAGAAATTTGAATGAAACCACTGAAGCACTGCAGTTTTTCATTCCAAGTGTAAGAAAAGTGATCTTTTCTATCAAAGTATTTATTACCCTCTTAGATTACTTAAAAATTCCTCAGGTCGCCATCTTAGGTGACTTGCATGTTTAAAGGGTCCTTGCTTCTTCTTCCGGATTCCTGTACAACTCCATTGCTGCCAAACTATATGCCTAACCCATCCCCCAGCCTTTTAGCCAGTCGGGAAAGATTGTGAACCTTTTGACCTGGGACAAATCCCAGTGAGGGCGGTACAACTGCATCAGGGAAATAAGGAGGAGCCACTGTCAGCCATTTTGCTTTGCATGTTTGCTCAGCTGGATTGAGCACACTTGCACCTCTTGATCAAGAGAAAATTGCCTTGTCAGATCTTCTGTCTTTTGTGTGTCTGTTTTTCCCCACCGAGGGTTATCATTCCAACACAAGTAGCCAATGAGAGAAAGAAAATATTCAGTAATTTTAACATTTACTGACTCTCATCGCACTCCTTTGGTTATCTTTTTTGCAGTTTTTCATTCCAAGTGTAAGAAAAGTGATCTTTTCTATCAAAGTATTTATTACCCTCTTAGATTACTTAAAAATTCCTCAGGTCGCCATCTTAGGTGACTTGCATGTTTAAAGGGTCCTTGCTTCTTCTTCCGGATTCCTGTACAACTCCATTGCCTGCCAAACTATATGCCCTAACCCATCCCCCAAGCCTTTTAGCCAGTCGGGAAAGATTGTGAACCTTTGACCTGGACAAATCCCAGGTGAGGGGCAGGTACAACTGCATCAGGGAAATAAGGAGGAGCCACTGTCAGCCATTTTGTGCTTGCATGTTTGCTCAGCTGGATTGAGCACACTTGCACCCTCTTGATCAAGAGAAAATTGCCTTGTCAAGATCTTCTGTCTTTTGTGTGTCTGTTTTCCCCACCAGAGGGTTATCAATTCCAACACAAGTAGCCAATGAGAGAAAGAAAATATTCAGTAATTTTACATTTACTGACTCTCATCGCACTCCTTGGTTATCTTTTTGGAGTCAGAGTTGAGTGCCATCTCATTTAGTTTCAACACATAGTGGGTGAATCTGGTTCCTGTCACTGTAGTCTGATTTGAATAAAAGTTGCTTTACCATGTTAAACAAGTTTCTTTGAATTTTTTTTTTCTTTACCAACTCTTTCTGAGTTCCTCCCCTCCCTTTTCTTCAAGGGAATCTTAGGTTAAGTCTGTTTGATGAAATGTAAATACATCAGGCACTAAAATGAACATCTATTATTCTGTATTTACGTATCTTTATAAAAATTAACTCTATTTTGTAGCTATTCCTGAAATGCTGTTGAATTAGAACCAAGAAAAAAAATCAATCTGATTACTGTCCTAAAGAGGTTCAAACTTCAGAAATAACTGTAAATATTTGTTTAAATATGTGAAATATTTTAATTAGTCCTATATATACATCAAAGAACAGAGCAAAAGTATATTAAGCAGTCTGTGTTAAATGTACACATTTATTGTCCAATAATACATCAGTATTAAACTCAGTTATGGTTCCTTTATTATACTACACAATTATCATCACCAGCTACAATTATTGGTAGTTTAAATAACGAGATAAATACTGTAATTATGTTGACTTCATTACTTGAATATTTAAGAAACAATTTTCTTCCCAGAGTTGCAAAATTTTGTATTATCCTTATTTATTGTTTTAATCTTACTTTTTTCTGTTTCATTTTTAGATTCAGGGAAAATTGTTAAATTATTTCATTATAACTTGCAGTGGCACTGCCAAAGGCCAGAAGTAATTTTAGCAATCAGTAAAGCTATATATTAAAAATCTTTAGCCAGGACCAAATTCCTTTTTTCTTTTCAATTTTTAGCCCAATTATTAATAGTTAAACACCATGTTTTCTTCCTTCAGGTAGTTTTAGTGTCATCTTCCGTATTACTACATTTTACACAAAGTGATTCTTGCTTTTCATTACAATTTTGTTATAAGTATTAAAGTGAATGAACATGAAATACAAGACAGCCAAAGTAGAGAAAAGGAAAAGAGAATTCCAAGGATGAAGCAAAGGGTTTTCCACAATTGCAACAGAATAGCAGAGGTGTGGAAGTAGGACAATATCCAGAAGAAGATGGCAATAAATGGCATGGTTGAAGATTGCACTCAGAGTCTACCGAAACATATGGGAAGAATTAGCAACAGATATAAACAAAATCAAGCAAGAAAAAATTCATAGTAAAACATAACATTTGATTATAAAAACCACGTTCATAAGAAGAACACCACAGTGATTGAATGATTTAACACAAAAATGTATTGATGGGTGAGGGTGGGATTTCTGAGGTATTGGCCAATTTGCAAAATCTGCAACCAAAAATTTAAAAATGACCATTAAAAATTTTATTAATATCTTGAGTATCTCAGTAAAAGCCGTCATTGGCAGAACATTCTTTAGACCAGGAACCACGAGAAATAGGATTGTGCCTGACCATGGGGCAAGTTTATTTATCAAGAGCAACCTGTCTCAGAAGAAGCACACCACCTTTAAATCTAACATTCTCCCTAACTAAAATTTAAGGAGAAATTTTAAGTTCATGATTTCAACTGTGAAATTTTAAGTTCATGATGTAATACTAAGGATGAGCAAAGCAGCAACAAGAACACAGGTTTTCATGTTGGTAGTAATTTTCTAAAGCTCTTATTTTCGATCTGCCTCTAAATTGTATAGTTTACCAAAGACCTGGAACTACAAAGAAGGCCAGAAGTTACTTAGCAATCAGTAACAACTCTGCTCAGAATGCAGTGCCGAATTATTTCTCCTCCTATTTACAGAAAACAGTGGCAGATATGCTAATGAGTCGGACTTAGCCTTGCACCGAGCCAGGCCTTTTCAGATAACCATTCACGGAGTACACGTGTGTGCCGCTATCTGGCCGCATCTTTGCGCACGCAGGCAAAGCCCACACGACCTCTCCTTCGCCTTTTTTGCTTTGCGAAGCGAAACAAGCTGGACAGGTTCACGTGATGCAAGTGACGTCAACCCCCACCGGGTCGCGTGACCGACGCCCAACCCTCTTACCACCCCGCCCCCGCCCGAGTGGGAAATCTCGCGAGAACCCGCTTACTATCAGAACTTACTGAGGTTCCTGGGGAGTAACTCTGTAGAGAAGGGAAGGTGTGGCAGGGTGGCGCGGAGTTTTTGCTTTCACAGTGTTAGTATTTATGGCCAAGCAGAGACCTTTGGGGATTGCTGGGGTGTGAACTAACCACCTGCATCACAGCGTGGGGGAGGTGGCAGTCAAATCTGAAGTGAAACGTGGCGGCCGGGCCGCTCGCCCCTTGCTGAAGGGGCAGGGGGGAGGGAGAACACCCGTGCGCGCGCCTGGCCACAGCAATCGTGTTCGGGTCGGCCCCGTGGGAGGTGGGGACCCTTCTGTGGAAGCTGTCGCCTGCCCACATCTGGCTGTGCCGGGTCCACGCTGAGCGCCGCCGTGGCGCGGTGGCTGAGTCCTGTGGCTGGGGACCCGGCCTAGAGAAGTCCCTGATGCTGGGCGCTCCAAAGGAGCGGAGGTTTCGATGACCCCCGCGGCCACCTGGGCCACCCATGAGAAGCCCCGCTTCTTCCCCTTGGGGCAGCCCCAGGTTGGGACAGCACACTGTCAGTAGGGATAAATGGGTAATCTTGACTTCACGCTTCATTCACCCAAAACGCGGTCCGGGCGTCACCCCCGCACATCCTCCTCCCACCTGGTTTCTCCTTAGACTGGCGTGGTCGGTGTGAGACCGAGGGAGGAAGAGCGATGCGCTCAGGGACAGCGCCGGGAGTCGCTAGAGGGAGGTGTGGGACCGGCGAGGAGGGGGCTTCACGAGGGAGGGTGCTGGCAGGCGGAGGGAGCAGCGGGAGGAGGCGCCGAGGGAGGAGACGCAGGCCTGGGGACGGCAGAGGCAGCTTCGCCCCAGCCCAGCGCTCTGCCTCCCGCCGCGCCGTCTCCAAGCCTCTCGGCCCGTGGGGAGCGCGAGGCCGCCGCCGCCGCCGCCGCCGCCCGCGGGAGGGAGGGAGCCGAGCCCGGGCGCGCACGCTCGGCCGAGCCCCGGCGCGCCCCGCGCCCGCGCCTGCTGACAGCTGCAGCTGGGCGCGAGCTGTGCGCTCCGGCCGCAGCGGCCTCGGCCCCTCCGCACTCCGCCCTCCGCCCGCTCGGACTCCTTCCCCTCCCCGCCTCTACCCCTCCTACCCTGTCCGGGGTGCGGATCGTTTCGCAACTGCTCGCCTCTCGCCCCGGGTCCAGCTGCTTTTCCCGATCTCGGCTCCCACTTGAGTACTTCCATTTGGGGAAAGGGGCTGCAAAGGGGTCGGGAGAGAGATACAGAGGAAAGAGCGAGGCCCGTAGCGGAGAGTCGGAAGGCTTGTGGGCAAGGGGACCCACGCCACCCTTTCTGGTCATCTCCCTCTCCGCCCCGCCCCTACGCACACTCCTTCGCGGACGAGCTACTTTCGGACGAGCAAAGTGAGGCCGGCCCTGGGTGACAGCGCCGCGGGGCCAGTCCCGGGGAAGCCGCGCGTCTGCTCTCCTGTCGTCCGTCGCGCTCCCCACCAGAGCTCAGCCCGCACCGAGGATGGCTTCGACCACCACCTGCACCAGGTTCACCGACGAGTATCAGCTTTTCGAGGAGCTCGGAAAGTAAGAGCCTTTGCCGGGCATCTCGCGGTCCCTTTCCAGTAGAGGGCGGGTCGCGTTGCCCCCTACCCGCCGGCCTGAGGCTTGGGGCGAGGGAGTTGGGGAGACCAGAGGAGAGGAAGGAGGACCCCGGGGTTGTCGCTCTGGGAAAGGTGCGGTGTTAGTGCGGGGAGGAGACAGAGAAAAGCAGGAATCCCCACCTTGGCAGTGGCCCATTCCGATCATCCCTAGCCCACCGTCTCCCGCGCCCGCACCCTCTTGCACCGAGACTTAGTGAATTTACGATCTCTGCAGTTGTAGCTGTCATCCTAAGAAGTGTGCGTGCGGGTGCGCGCGCGCGGATGTGTGTTTGGAGAGGAAACCAGGACCCATGTAAAATGCCACATTTATCACGTTTTCCGTAAAGAGAGATGTCTCCTGGCTAGCCCGCGCGTCTGCCGGCGGTGTGACCCACGCACAGATGAGCACTCTCGGCCCCAGACGGTGCCATTTTTATCGATGCCGAAAGTTCAACTTGGCTTGGTGTAGAGTCGGCTTCGCATCCAGTAGTTGTTCTGTCCAGGAAAAGGGACATCCAACCGAACCCAGTCCCCTGCCCTATATCCGCTATTATTTTTTTGCGCTAGATTATGCGCTCGCCATCATTCTTGCTAGGATTTACGTGGGCATCTTTACTTTCTCCGGGAGGACTTATTTATACCTGCCGTGGAAAAGCCCTTTGGAGAGGGAGAGCGCTTCCCTGGGTGGCCTAGCTGGCAGACAACGACCTCCCACACTCAAGCAGCACAACTACTTGGAGGTGTTAGGAAGGAGACCTGTGCGGAGGGCTCTAGGGCCCCAGCCCAGGACGTTGATTTCTATAGCATCAACCCCAAACCCAATTCTTCTGGCTCTGGTTTCCACTATTACTTATGAAAGGGGTGCGTTTATTGTGTGGTGTTGGTTTATGCAGTTAAATTAAAGGAAATGTAAATATTCCTTAATGTAATGGGAATTATATCCTTTTATATTATCTGCTGTTAAAACATGGAGAATATGTCCGAAGGGCAGCTTAATTCGAATCTCTCCCCTCCCCCAGTCCAAAACAGGGCAGAGAGAAATCATCATACCAGGATTTGTCAAACCATACCAGTGTGCTGGAGAATTAGATTTTAATGAAAACAATCGCCATATTTCCTTAGTTGGAGCCACTTTAATTATTTTTCCCTACCAAAATAAATAGGCAGCAGATTTTTGCTGCTCCTCTTCAGCTCTGTTCTTTGCAGGTTTTTTTTTTTTTTTCTTCTTTCAGAGCATTTGGTGCTGGGTGAGTGTGAATTGTAAAATGTTTTCATATTTCATGTGCAAACAAGAATGGTCATAATTGGCAGTTTCTTTCATTTTTTTCTTTGATGCGTACTCCCAGTTAAATAAATTTTACTTTTATTCCTCAGCATTAAAAAAGGTCTGAGTTTCCAGGAAGAATTGATCTTTTTTTTGGCTATTACTGTACTATATTTATATTTGACAGTTCTCTAAAATTAATGAAAATTCTCAATTTTTAAGTTATTAGTAGAATACTAGATTTGATTTTATTGATGACCTGCTAATTATTGGTTTCCAGGGGGGCGTTCTCAGTGGTGAGAAGATGTATGAAAATCCCAACTGGACAAGAGTTTGCTGCCAAAATTATCAACACCAAAAAGCTTTCTGCTAGGGGTGGGTATTTCCAACCGCATATATGTTAATTTCATACTTAGCATGATGATTGTTGGTTCTCTTGTAAGTGAATGTATTATGTAGTGATAACTGAATCTTAGACTTAGGTATCATATAACATACTGACTTTATTTCCTTTCCTGAATGCCTCTTGTTCTGTATGGTTTAAAATAAATGAACAAATGTAATTGTAATTGTTTAATAACCGATTAAAATTCTGTCTTATGAGCAGTAACATAACTATTTTGTAAAGCAAATACATGTCACAAAGTACATTTTGCTTTTAGCTCTAGTGTAAAATAACTTTTAGAGGGATTCTGGAATGGAAAAATAGAAGTCTCATGACTGTCACAATTCCCTTTTGCTTTTGAGAGGAAAAATAGGTCAAAGCTCAGTTGAATCATATATTTCAATTGTAGTTACACTTAAACTTAATTCATCAAGGCATTATTTAACAGTAATGGCTTGGGAAGGGGAAATTTATGATTGCAATATTCTAGGAAGTTCAGCTCGATTTTGATGTTTCTATGTGCAGCTGAGACCTTCACTTGCTTTTCTGCCTTAAGACTTCCCACAGGATCGTGTAATGTGTTTTACACATGCGGTTTATAGCCCCAGAGATAATTTATACTCATAAAATAGCTGTTGACATGAGCAAAAAACTTGGAGGAATATCACTGTATTCTTTTTATTTGTTGAACTCATGCAAAAGTACTTACACTGAACTGTTGGGCATTCGAATTATTGTGGGCACGTGTCTAAGGTATTTCCATGTGAATTTATAGTTGGACGAAATAAAAGTGAAATGAAAATGAACAAAACACTATGGTGTAAGGCCATCTCAGTGACCTGGTTTATTTTAAGTAATGAGAGTAGAAATCCCACTAGGGTTAGTTTTCCTCATTTAATATCTCTTTTAAAGTGTGCTTCTTTCTTGTGTCCTTGTATCATTGCCTTTGTCCTCTGCCATGATTACTTTTTCATATTTGTTGCAAGTATTACTTTCAATGTGTACGTTATGTTTAGGTTGGCATTTACATTTACTTGTTTGAATTGGATTTTATTGTAATTTTCCTCATTTAACGTGATTCTGAGAGAAATGTATATGCCGAAATCAGGAGCACCATGGAATCATGGTATAAAAATTAATGAGAAGCATATTATGCTAATTACATTCCCTTCTAAGTCTCCAATCAATAGGAAAGTTTTAACAATGTAAAGGAGTTGCCTAACTGTGAATACCACTTTAGAAAAGGAAAGAAAGATGAAGAAAAATGAAAACATATAGTCAGACTTTTTTCAGCAGTTATATTATTTCTTTTGGTGTGTTTGGTACTTTTGATATTGGTGGGATGTCACTTCTTTTGGCATTATAACACACCTATTCCAAGTCTTTCAGTTGCTTTAAATTTTCTCTCAAAAGAAATCAGTCTAGTGCTTTGCTTTTTACTAACTTGCTTAATTAGAGTCATTGCTCTTTATCCACCTTACATCAGAATGGCAAAGTGCCCTGCTCACATACCTTCCACTTTCCCAGCTACAGAAGATGCCTTCCCTAGCCTGCTAAGCCTTAGTTTCTTCTTACTGCCATTGCCAGTGTCCCTCACCAGCCCACTCTGTGCTTCTAAACACCACCTACTCCCAAAGCCTTCTTGCCTCTTCTGGATTTAATGATTCTAATTATTCCACTAAATTTGGGGGGGGGGAGCGCAGAATGCAGCTATGGTGTTGATTACAAGACATTCTTCTTGTTTTTCCCCTCATTTTTTTTTTTTTCCTTGTGACTTTGACTTTGGGCAAGTTTCTTAACCTGCTTTATGTGAACCTTCCTAAGAGTATCTGGTGAATCATTGGTGCTGGAACCAAAGGCTCTGAGCTTGACTTCTGATTACCATACCTGCTAGTCATGTGACCTTGGGCAGCTTACCTATTTTTCTCTTGAACTTCAGTTTTGTTTTGTTTTTTTCAATCTATAAATGGAGTAATAATGGAACCCTTCCTTATAGGGTTTTGTTTGATATGAATGGATTAGTGTAGTATAGAATAGCACTTGCCACATTAAATAGGCCTTTAGTGAATATTGGCAGCTACTGTTATCTAGTAGGTTGTCATAATGATCAAATTCAATTACTCATATGAATGATATTGAAAATTATAAATCTGGTGATAGCTTTTTGATTTAGCTGTGAGAACCCAATTTGAATCTTAGCTTTATTGCTTAGTTTGTAAATTTGACTCAGTCACTTGCCTTTCCCCAGTCTCATATTCTTTATCTATAAGGTGGGAAAATAGACCCATGGGGTCTCATGGGAATGAGGATTCAGTGAATTTTGTGAGAATTGCTTCTTAAATTGCAAAGTGTCTTGTCAGTTTTATCCATTATTATTATTTATCTATAAAAACTATAGTCCTTTACTATAAAATGCTCAACAATTTTATCATATATTATCACACAATTAGTTCTGGTTATTGAGTATTTTTACTTTGTAATGTACATGTTTGTTTAACTTAAACACATATTAAATTATGAACTCTTGGAAAAATGCCAATGTTTTCATTTTTTATATAACATTCAAAATATAGTATAGAAAGGCTCAGTACAGAGGGCCTGGAATCAAATGAGGTTATTAAATTATTTAGGAGTTAAGTACTTAGTGTACTCCAAAGAAGATGCAAATACTGAAAGTAATCTGCAAATCATTTATTAAGAGCACATGCTTTAAAATGTAAATTTCTTTTAATACCATTCCCTTCAGAGAATATACTGATCCAAAAGAGAATAAAGGTTTTGCAGTAAAAAATTAAATAAAATAAATATATTTAAAGGCAAATGTAGAATGAAGAGCAAAATAGTATGCATATTTTTTCTAAGGTACTGATTTTGGGGAGCTTTGGGCACTTTTGGGGAACACACAATTTCTGTGCAACTTTTTGTTTGTAATTTTTGTAATCTCATGTCACTTTAAATCCAATCTGTAAACCTTTTTGTTTTAAAGATCCCATAGGTTCTACAACCCAACTAATATTCTTTAGATATGATATTCCAACTAAAAAAGAAAGTGCCATTTGTCAATAAATCAAAGGCTGTGTGAGAATTGCCAAAAACATGGCTACATTCCTGCCCAAATTTGCACATCCAGCTCTACTGTCACTGAAGCATTTTTCTGTGCCTAGATTTTAATGGATTTCCAGTAGACAGCTTCAGTTGCATTTCCTCTCAGCTGTTGGTCACACATACCGTATTTGGGAAACTTACAGTCTATTGAAGAATTGCTTTCCTTTTGCACTAGCACATGCATGCATAGAACATTCATTACTAGTGTTACTGAGTAGATTAAGTATGCTTATCGTGTAATTGGGCTGCTTTTTAAAATTAAAATGTGGTTAGAAACATCTCAGACATCTGATAGTTTATATGTAAAGAAGGCATGCTTAGTAAATGGCAAATAGTAATAACAGTTTTTTTTTCTCATTTGCACCATGATCACTAGAAATTATGTCATTCTGATCCCACTTAGGTTAGTACCTACCAACTGCTAATTTATTCTGCTTTGATATTTTGTTTGGACATATTTGGAACTGTAAGCTGTTGTTAGATTATATAAAGTCCATGCAGGGCTGGTTCAGAATGCAGTGACCTGATGGCTCTGATGGCAGATGTCTTTAGAAATAGTCCATGTGATTTATTTTGGTTTTGAAGCCTATAGTCCATGTGATTTATTTTGGTTTTGAAGCCTCCCAGTGATAGTAATGACTTCTTGACAATCATTCTGGTGTATTTCTTGATCCTTAGAAACCACTTGTTGTTACATAAGTGTAATTTAATTGTTTCACTTATTGTAACAAGTTGCTGTTTTGGTAAAACACATTAAATTACAATATGAGTTTGAAAAATATATGCTAATACAAGCATATTTTACTTCTACTCCATTACTAATGTTAAAAAGGGTTTTTAATATATTTCTATAAAACTTTACAGTGCAATTAAATCATTTTCATTTTATTAGTTCTATTAATTTCTAAATTAGTAAAACTAGTTGAACATGAATCAGGACTTTATAAAACTACTTGGTCATGTATAAAAATTAGTGTTGTGTGTAATATATATATATATATATATATATATATATATATATATCCCTAAGTAATCTTTCTCAGGTTTTAATAGGAATGTCAAAATCTAAGTTTTGCTACTTTTTTTCTTTTGGCATCCAGAAATGTTTCCCAACCTCATGGTTTCTTGTCTTGCATTGAAAGTAAAATTGAGATATGTGAATCAGTTTGTTCTGATTATACATTATTGATTTGGAGGTTTGGAACTAATTGGACAAATTAATATTTGAAGGTTTCTTAGCTAAAACTTTTTTTTTAATTAGTAAGTCATTTTTATTTTAGTCCATGGATCCCACCTAACTCTTCAGGTACATACAGAAGTGGCATGTACCATTCTCACTGTTTTGTGTCCATTAAGTTATGTTTAGTCATACATTCTTACATAGGCCTTGATATTAGATACTTATTTTCTTCATTTGGTAAATAATATTATTGATATTCAAAACTAGTTAGAAGGTAAAAGTAATAAAATTGTACAGCTACATTTCCAGGAAATGATAACTATCCTTTCTGTATTGCAGCATCATTAGATAAGGCAAATTTATTAAAGAACATGGTTGTCAGGTGCCTTATGTTGATAATAATAGCTGCTACCAACCTCTGCCTAATTGTGTGAGATAACTCCCCCCAAGAAATTGGGTTGTTCATGCAATTAGATTGATAACTTTTTCACTTCCTTTGAAATATTGAATCAACTCAATCTAAAAATTAAAAATTAGTAGTAAACGATCATTTATGAATTCTTCTAATGTTAATCACAAATCACTAAAAATAATGTACTTGTGTTTTTCGGGCATTTAACTCCTTTTGCTAATTTGATTTTAACTTGTTTTTAAGTCTTCTCCTTGAGCTGACACCAGACTGACTCGTAGTTACTCTAGGGCTGG